GAGGAGTGGAGTCTGTGGCAAAGTAGAACCTGCGGGTCCTTTGGGGGGTCATGTCCATGACTCAGAACCACTGAGCACTGAGTCATTGACTCGGGCATTACAGTGTGGTGACCTTTCCAGGATGCTGCTTACTGGTGGGAGACTTAAGAGTGCCCCTGCCCACTTCTATCCACCAGAGGCCTTCTTTCTGCCCCTCTGCCTGGCCCCTCTTCCTCCTACCCGCTGTGAAAAGTTACCAGGCAGCCCCTCCGCTGCTCCCACGGGGCCTCCTGCCCCCCGGTGCTTATGTCTGCGACATCACCCTGCACCTCTGTTGAAATCCGCATTCTCCACCGTCTCAGCAGCTGGCCCACCTGTCAGCCAACGGCCAGGAAGCAAAAGAAGGCAGCTTGGTTTCAAGGTATTCAGCAACAAAGGCCTCAGCATTTGGAATTATTTTTAGGGGGATATTAGTGGTAGGTATTTCAGGCATGACAAGGAGGCCAGAAAGGGGGCGTTTGGGAACAGGAAGGGTAGGAGGAGCCCACACTGGGCGGCCCTCCTGTTTGCAAGGCCTCACTGTTCAGCTCTCCCAGCTCTGCTTTGCTAGGGTTCCAGCTCAGCTCCGGCTCCTGCCCCAGAGTTCTGCACCAACACTGTCCTCAGGAGGGAGGACGCAAGTGAGCCCCTCCTCCAGCCCATCCTGTGACCTCTAGGAGGCTTCTCTTTCCCAGAGTCCTAGATGATCTTGCCTGCAAGCCCACACCATAGGGTCTCAGTGCCTCCCCTGCCTGGGTCTCCAGGAGGTGGGGGGTGGAGCCATGGCTGGCTAAGCTCTGCCTGCCATGGTGGCTGGTCCCCTCCTGCCCCACCCTGACCCTGCCTGGGAGGGTGCATCCAGAAGGAGCTTGAGCCCTTGCCCTGGCAAGCCTTCCTCCTTGAGCTCTGGGGAGGCTGCACTGTGCTCAGGACTCCAGACGCTCCTCCTCTGGAGAAGTTGCTCCCACCCAGGGCAACTTGCCCACAATCCCCAGTCCAGGAAGGACCCCAGCACACCTGCTTCTACCTGCAGAGGTACCACCAGAGGCCGAAACTGTCAGCTCTGTAGGGCAGAGGCTGAGCCTCATTCCTTTCTCTGTATCCCCCAATGCCTATTATGTTGTAGATGCTTAATAAACATGCTGAATGAATGAGTCAATGAATTAATGCATGAAATTTTCACTCCTTGTTACTTTTCAGAAAGGCATTTATTGGATGTTTACAGTGGGTCACAACAAAAACAATCTAGTATCTGGTTGAAAGGAGAGACTCAAGAAGGCATCCTTGGTTTGAAGGTCAGCTTGGCCATTAATTAACCATGAGGCTTTGGGAGCGTTATCTAACCTCTCTGTGCCTGTTTCTTTACCTGGAGAATAGGCATTATAATAGAGCCTACCTGACTGGGCTGCTGTGAGGAATAAATAAGTTAATATAGGCAAATTGTATGCATGATGAGCTCCGGGCATGTTGTGAATGAGCAGTAAATGTTGGTCATTATTACTACTAGTAGTAGAATTACTGCATCAAAAACAATGTCCGTGCTCTACATGAGAGAGGGGAACCAGGATTCCTGTCTCCAAGAGAGAGCAACGCAGTTGGGAGACAAACCCACAGGCTGGAGTAAGTCAGATGGCAGAGAGCTGTCAAGAGCAGGAGGAGCTGGCTGAGGTGGCTCACACCTGTACTCCCAGGGGCTCAGGAGGCTGAGGCAGGAGGATCAGGAGTTCAAAGCCAGCCTCAGCAACAGCGAGGTGCTAACCAACTCAGTGAGACCCTGTCTCTAAATAAAATACAAAATAGGGCTGAGGTTGGGGCTCAGTGGTCAAGTGCTCCTGAGTTCAATCCCTGGTACCAAAAAAAAAAAAAACAAGAGCAGGAGGAGTTTGGTCAGGAGATTTGGCAGGAGGCTGGACCCTTTGAGGAGAGACCCCAGGGAGAAGAGCCATGTGGAGAGCCCTGACCACAGGAGGAGGTACGCGGACCCCCAGGTTATAGAGAGGGGTGTCCACTGGACACAGAGGGAACTGCCTTGCCTGCTAGGAGGGGACATTGAACATAAGGTCACGCCCTAGACACCAGGCTTCCTGCTCTGTTCCTCTCCGCTCTTGGAGACCATCCCTGCTGCTGAGGTGGTGTGGAGAGCCAAGCATGGCAGGGGCTCCCCCAGGCCCTTCTTTGGGTGCAAAGGGACTCAGGGATCTCAGCTGAGCTCTTCAGCAGCTCTGGGCTGACACTGTTAGATGTGGTCTGCCCGCTGGAGGATACTGTGGGTCATTCAGACAGCATCCACACTGGTCTCATCCAAAAGGACACTGTGAGCCTGCATGTGTCTGGGTTTTGTGACAAGAGATCAGAGGGAGGAAGCGGGGTTCTTGGGGAACGCGGCTGGGGACAGAATCTCCAAGTGTGGCTGCATTCCCAAACAGACGCAATTCCCAGAAATCGCGGGCCTCTGCCTCCGTGCAGCCTCCTTCCTCCATTCTGAGCCATAGCCCTGCTCTGTGCTTCCTGCCTGGTCCAGAGGTGGCCTCCTCCAGGAAGTCTTCCAGCCCACAACAGTTGAGTGATGCTCTTCTCTTGTCCTCCCAGCAGTGCCAGGCCACTGAATCCCTTCTGTCTGCAATCCGTCTCTGTCCTGTGAGCCCCCTGGGGTCAGGCTCTGGGTCTTGGTCATCTTTGCCTTTCTGGATCCTGGTGTTGTGCTTGGCATGGAGTCAGCTTCCGTGTCTGAGGAATGAGGAGTAGTGGGGCCAGCACTGAGCAGAGTGAGAGGGGCCAGGGCAGAAGCAGAGGCCCAAGAGCAGCCGACCCCCAGCTTCGTCCCCACCAGCAGGCTCGCCTGGCTGGCAGGCAGGTCCAAGTTCCTGCCTCCTATCTAAAGCACTCAGATGAGGCAGGAGCACCCCTGCTCCCCTCCCAGCCCTCCTTTTCTCCCTGGAGGAGTGGCCACCTGTCAAGCCTCGATGTGAGTGTGCCCAGGGGTGGGACAGGAGAGGAGGAGGACTCTCATGAGCAAGGAGGTCATTTGGAGAGCTCAGGTTACAAAAAGGAGCGAGGGCATTTGGGGGACCAAATGCATGGACAGTGACAATGATAATCATGTTCCTAGGGAAGGAAACATGTCCCTAGGACCTAGGATTGACTTGTCTCAGCAGAGGAGATGTTAAGGTTGCCCTCGGGTGAGGCAGTTCATCCTTAGCCTAATCCAGCCCCAGGGCCTGGGCCCAAGCAGCGAGTGTCTCATCCAGCCTGGAGGGAGGGGTCAGGGGACCCCTGATTCCTACTGCTCAGGCAGATGGCTTGGGGGAGTCATAGAGAGTCATGCTGCCAAGTATGGCTTGCAGATGTCCCCTGAGCCACACGAAGTGGCCAAGTGTTTAGTTAAGAATGATACCATTGGCTGTCAATTGGTAAGTGCATTGGGTGGCTCTGAGCCCCAGAGTCATGATCCTCCCTCCACCCCAGTGCTCCTGACAGCCTGTCCTTGGGGGTCATCCTAATCCCTTGACTTAGCCTTCAGGGCCTCTTGGGCCTCTCCCCCACACTCCTCCAGTCCTGCCTCCTGCCTGAGAAGTGCCTCTGACACCCTCTCCCTTCTTAGGAGCCACACTCCTGCCCCCACCAGACTCCTGTTACATCTCACTCAGACAGAGCATATGGGCGCCGTCAGTGCCCAGCCTGCAGGCTCTCCCACTCTATCCTCCAACGCTCCGCTTGCTGAATTCTTGCCCTGATCCTGCTACTCCCTTGTTCGAAACCTTTGCTGGGTCCCCGCTGCCTGTCAAAATTGCCACAGATCCCTTAGCCTGGCTTAATAGGCCCTTTCTGCGAGGGTCCCCACTGCCAGTCTTCAGGCCCTCTCTGAGGTTCCCAGTGCTCTGGGGCTCCCAGCCTGTTCCCCCAACATGGAAAGCCCTCTTTGTCTTTCTCCATCTGCTGAGATCTTGTCCGGCCTTTCAGGCCCTGCACAAACAGAACCCCCTAGCCCAGTCCCAACTGTGTTCCTTCCCTCCTCTGAGCACTCCCAGGAACCAATCCCAGGGTGAGTGTCACCTGGAACACAGTTGTCTCAGCTGTTTCGTAGTCCCACAGGGTGCAGAGCATGGCCCTGGGCACAGGAGGGAGGGATAAATGGTGGGAAAGGCAGGTGTGGCGTCTTTCCTGGGAGTGCAGACAGCCCTGGGAGGCTCTGAGAATTAGCCACAGTTCCCTCTAGGGAACATCTGGGTGCTACCTCGCTTGTCTGTGAGTGTTCAGGCAATACAGACCATCACCATACGGGCCTGCGCTGAAGCTTCCACAGCCCAAAGAGAATCAGCTCTTTGCCATTGCAACTCCCACCCTTGCAGGGCTGCAGGCCTTTAGGATGCCCCCAAAACCATCCATTCACCTGTTCAGCCTAACCCCTGTCCCTGCCCGCCTCAACACCTTCCTAGCTGCTCCCGGGGCAGTAGCATAAGGTCTCCAGATGTCACAGGGGCTGTAGGGATGGAGGGCCTGGCCAGCTGGGATGGAAGAGCATCTGCACTGCCTTCCCCACTCTCCTCCCCACCTGCCCTCTGACAGAGGCAGGGGAGCGGGAAGAAGAGGAAGAGGGAAATTCTCAGGTAAAACGTCCTATCTCTGGTCTCTGTGGGTCCACAAACCCCAGCCCTGCAGGCCTGCAGTCAATCAGAACTAATTTTTTCCCTATTCACCAGCACAAAGCTGGCCCTGACTAGCCACAGCGGGCCCTGGTGGAGGACTGGAGCAGGGGCCTGGGTTAGCTGCAGGACTGAGTGAGCTGAGGTCCCTGGGGAGAATCAGGGGCTGCAGGGGTGGGTTACCTGGGGAATCTGGGCCTTGGATATTTACCAACTGGGATGAAAGCATTTTTAATATTTATTTAAAATCTTTGAACAGCTAATATGGCTGCATCCATGTAGCCTAGTCCTGCCAGCCCTGTCCCAACCACAGTGCCCACACAATCATATCAAATCCAATTTAAAACCACATATTTTATTGATGTTCTTCATCAACAAATGCAGGGCCATGTGCACAAGCGCTATTCAAGTCCCACACCTGGCAACCTCCCCACGGTCACCTCCACTGACCGGTGTTTCAGGAGTTGACCCCCCTGAGGGTCTCTTTTTGTCCTCTCTTGGAATGCCAGGCCCCGTGGTGCTGAGCCCCCAGGAGGTGGCACAGGGCACAGCTGGCTTCCAAGCTGGAGCTCCAGGGTGAATGAAATAAGTGATGAAAGAATGAATAAAGGCAGAAGAGAGCCAGGGTGGATTTTCCAGCCTCCCACCATCCCCGCCCCCTGCACCGCCTACGTATGGCCAGAACTGGGAACGCAGATGGCCCTGGTGACTTCTCCTTCAATGAAGCCTGGACTCCCCATTAGTCTGCCCTGCCACACCCCTTCCCTCAAAGTGGCCTGCCCTGATGACCACCAAAGATAGCAGAGTGACCATTTGTCAAAGGGTGGGAGTCAGTGTGCAGGGGGCAAGGAGTCCCTGACGGTAGGGATCTCATCGTCCTGTCCACCCCTGTATCACCAGAGCCTGACACTTGGCACATAGTTGGTGCTTGATAAATCCATGTTGGATAAATGTGTGAGGGGAACAATGAGTAAAGGCAGAGGGGAGAAGCACAGGCCGTCAACATTAGGACACAGCCCTCTAGGGGGCATGAAGGCGGGGCCTTGGTCAAGTCCTCTGAGCTCTGCTCAAGAATTCAGTGTTGCACAGCAGGGTTGCGTTCCTGTGGCCACCCACTGGACACTGCAGGGTATGGGCTTCAGTCTTCTGCCTGGATGGATATCAGGTTAGCCTTGGGACCCAGTCAAGTGGCAGCACTTGTGTTGCGCCCACTCCCTCATGTGTCCCAGGGGTCTGGTTCTCTGGGTCACAGAACGTGTAGCCGTGCCCCCATCCAGGGCTACTCAGCCAAGCAGGGAAGGTCTGGCAACTGGACCGTCATATTCTGGTCATCCGCATCCCCCAGTCTTCACTCCCCCAGGCTCCTCCCTCAGAGTTGGACATGACCTTCAGGCTTTTCTCTCCCCACAACGTACCTGACCCTGACACCCTTCTGGGTCTCCCTGTCCTCCATGGCCAGCCCTCTAAACTAGAAACATCCTGGTAGTCCTCACCACAGTGGCTGTATTGGGCCTCAAAAGTTTGCATCATGATTTTTCAGCCCTCTCCCCTGCCCACTTTCTCTCCATGAAAGCAAATAGCTCACAGACATCTCTGCAGCTGTGGCCTCTGGGCCCAGCAGTCACAAAGAGACTCTCCGAGTGGGAAGGGATTTCTTGCGAAAAAAATCCCTTGCACAGCATGTCTGACAGAGGCCTTCCTGGACCCCGCTAACCCTAACCCTGACCTCCAATGGCGGAGCTACTGCTTGCCCAGGTATCCATTCCAACATTGGCCATGCCAACATTGAAGCTTTAGCTGCTAGAATGTCCTTTATCCAGAACATAAATGAATGCATTAGCCCCTCCCTCCCCTAAGCATTCTTCCTCTAGGTTCATAAGAGCGAATCCCTCCTCTCTCTCTCTCTCTCTCTCTCTCTCTCTCTCTCTCTCACACACACACACACACACACACCCTACCCTTCTATTCAGGGATACAGGGCTGCACAGTCACATGCCTTCTTCATTCATTGGGTGGCTCCTCTTTCCCTCTTCTTTCTCTCCCAACATCTGGCAAAACCCCAGGGGCTGGGGGAGGGCCAGGCAGGGAGGCCATTTGGTTGCTGTTTCCAGAGAGAGAGAGCTTTGAGCCTTGGGTGTGGGCACCAAGCCACTGTGCTCTTCGTCCCCAGAGGGGGTGACACATGCCCACCCCTCCCAACTTCCCTGGCAGTTGGCAGAGGGGACTTGGCTGCTTCTCGCCCATGGTGATTTTAGACATTTGCCAGCTTCCAGGTCTTGGGGAGCCCCTTACCAGCAGCAAGAGTCACTCCCCACCCCCAAGGTGAGGGGGAGTTCCCCGCAGACAGAGTGAAGGCAGGAGAGGTGGTAGAGTGGGGTGCACCAGGCGCAGAGGGGAAGGAGGGCCCCGAGAAGGGGAACAGAAGCAGAGACATCTGGTGAGAAGCCCAGCAGTGCCCGGTGGCAGTTCTTCCTGCCATGGCCCACCAGCCAGCGCTGTCCCTAGGGGTTGAAGATCAGGGGCGGGTGCAAGGACCTTACCAGTTGGAGGTTGCGGTGGATCACGGGTAGAGACAGATGTCATGGTCTTATGTTCAGAGGGAGAGAACTGATGGAGTGTCTGCTATTTGTCCTGCTGCTTAGAGCTCTCGCTTCCGACATTGAACATGGGGACCAGCAGGCCCAGCAGCCACCTCTTTCCGAAGACTTCCTGCAAGTTCTTGCGCCAGGGTCGGGCCCTCACTGCCACCCCCTTCCGAGCCTGGTGGCGGGTCTGCCCCCGGAGGATCAACAGCAGCTGGTGGCAGCAGAAGCCGGCGCAGGCCAGGCCGATGGCAAACCAGAGGTAGAGCATGAGGATGACGAACATTTCAGAACCGAGGACAGCTCCTGCGGGGGAGGGGAGACGACAGAGCCGCTTTACACCCAGGCCACGCGCTTTCCGCGGGGAGGGAGCCAGGGAGATTAATGAGATTGCAACTACATTTTGTAGCTCTCGCCGCGCTGCAGCGAGCGACAGGAAGGATGAACTAGTTGCCCCAACTTTTCCTTATGTTGATGGCTCCTGAGGGAAGGGGAGAGAACTGGGCATCTGGGGGGGAGAAGGGAGAACAACTTGATAAGCTCAGAATGAGAACCCCCAGCTTCCCTGGGCAGTCTAGATGCTCTTACCGCCCCACCCCTCTTTTTCCTTTGAGGGGTAAGCTGAGGGCCCTTTAGGAACGGATGCCCGAAGCTGTCTAGACTGCTCTCTCCCTACAGGGCTGGGAACATTGTCCTGAAAGACTCGGGCAAGTGACAGCATGATGGAAAACAGGACCTAGTCATCAAAGGGGACAAGTCATGAGCTCAGCCCCAAAGGCAGGGAGCAGAGCGCGGACTTGGGAGAATAATGCAGTCATTAATAGCAGCAAGAGGACAGTGTGGTCATCTGAACACTCTGCTAAAGCTGTCCAATCCGTCAGAGCTTGCTAAAGCTGGAAGAGGTCCCCAAGGTCATCAGTTTGACCCCCTACAGTGGGGCAACACCTCCCCTCAGGCCCTCTAAACCAAGCACTTTCTATTACTGCTTGTAAACATCCACTTAGTAAGAGATCCCAGTCTTCCCTAGGGTTGGGGGTGGGTGGTCCACACTGGGCTTGGAGCTCCCATCTTGTGGACTCTCACAAGTTTTTGAACCTGTGCTGTGGTTTGTTCCTCTGCAAAATGGACATGATAGTAATGATTCCCAGGGTTGCAGGATTCAAGGAAATGATGTATGAAGGGGTCAGCCTTCTGGTTTACATGCAGCCCAGCACTCCCCTGCTGAAGGTCATTTCACAGAGAAGGTGATTACATCCCAAAAGGGTTCGAGTTTAATTCCTAAGGCCACCAAGCCTTTTCCACCTTTCCAGGACTTGGAATCCTCCCTAGGCTGCAACTTTGCGCAGATATAGTAAAGACACCTACCTTGACCTACCTGGCAGTCAGGATGGTGGGTCCAGTACAGAACTCAAAAGCCCTCCTTAGCCCTTTGCTCCCTAGAAGACAACTTCTTTGCCACCTTCTCCAGGGAGATTTTGGGTAGCAGCTCCAGGGAACACCTGTTCTACCCCTGTACCTCTCCCTCGTCTCTCCCCCGCCCTTCTACCAGCTCCCTTGTACAGGCTCACACCTTCCAAGGCCTCTCCAGGCTCTGATTTCCAGACTCCAGAGAATTGGGCTTTTGGTCCTTATCAGGTCTGAACAGTGTTGAACTTGGCAGCCAGGAAGAATGTGGGTCTGATTTGGGTTTTTTCATTAGCAGCCTTTTCTCCCCTCATCCCTTCGAACTTTGATTGCTTTTTTTTTTCTTTACAAAGTTGAAGACAAATTGGTCCAGCTTCCCAGGGGATAGAAAGCTCGCTCCAGCTGGCATTTAGAGCAGCCCCTCCACTGACATGGTGGCATCAGTGGGGCAGAGCTCACACGGAGCCATGCCATCTCCTGACCCACTTCTCCCTTGTCAGCACAGATGAGCTTGGACAGCCACGTGCAGGAGGGAGCACCCTGGGGGCCCTGACACCCTTTGGGCTTGAGGAATGCTGATGGGAAAAGATGGCCCTCAACTGGGATGGGAGAACATCAGAGCTGTCAAGCTCCGGCCTGCCTTGCATCTCAGCCCCAGGAACGAGCTTGGGCGGGTGGAAGCTGTTTTTCACCGGCTTTTTTTCTGGCACTAAAGCAAGGCATGAGGGAGAAACCTTGCCGCCTTCTCCTGGCCCCATGCAGCAGCTACAAAAGGCTATTCTGGGGACCTGCTTCCTTTCAAAGTGTTTGAAGGTCTCTAGCGTGACTGCTTCAGCTCCTCTCAACTATTTAATAATAGTTCCATTTCTTTTAGAAAATCATAGAGTTTTCCTAAAGGGCCTAAAAGGTCCCATTTTCTGATCTCTCCTATACCTGACTCCCACCAGCCATCTTCACAAACCATCACCCAATATATTCTTGAATACATTGGGGATAAGATGACACCTCCCTCCCAAATGGGGCTTATTCATCACGAAACAACAAAAGAGAAGCAGCCCCAGAGAGGCAGTGTGGTCTAGTGGAAAAGGTACAAGCTTTGGAGGCAACGGCTTGGAGTCCAAAGTTGTGTGGTTTTGAAGCAACTTCACCTGGCTGAGTGTTTTGTTCCTAAGCTTTAAAAATGACTTGATAATACCTACCTCACAGACTGTCATGATTGGATGAAATGAGATGTGCCTGGTGGATGACACATAATAGGTGCTCAACAAACATCAGTTCTCTTTCCTCTTTCTGGACTTTCTGGTGGCCCCTATCCACTAACATACTCATCCAAATGCCACAATGCATGCTGGATAGTGTCCTCCTCATTTTCCAGATGAGAATGAGGTTCAGAGGGGTGATGCAACTTGTACTGGTCCCACAAAGTCAAAAGAAACTTAAACTTAACTAGCTAGTCCTCTCTCTCTTTGACATTAGCTGAAGGTTAGCAGCCAACTTCAGTTCAGAAGACCCCTTCCACCTTTAGTTCTCAGGGCCCCCCACTCACAGCATCCTGTGCTTTGATGGCAAATCCAACTCAGGGCTGGGGACAGCTCAACTCCTGTTAACCAAGGTGTGCCTTTGACATTCCTGCCCTCCTCTCCTGAGCAGATGAGAGAGGGGTTGCTCTGGGAACTGGGGTAGAAAGGATGAGAAGAAGGAGATGGAACAGGGAAGTGTATGTGGAGTGGGGGAGGAGAGATGTAAGGTCAGCAAAGGAGGAAGACGAGATGGAGAGATGGACACGAGAACCTTAGCCTCCTTTCCTAGTGAGTGAATGGTGGGGAGGTGAAGGATAGTGGGACTCAGTAGCCTGATCAGGGACCTGGGACCCAAGGTGGACACTAACTGGCTCTGTCCTCCCAACAGATCAAAGCAAGAAGCCCTTCTTGCTTTCTCTCCTATCTCCTAAACCTAGCACATATGGACAGGCCTCAAGCCCAGATTTATCTCAAATCAAACCATTTCAAGATCCTCCTTCTGGAATCACCCATTTTTATGGTTGGTGAAACTACTTGGAAAAGGATGTGTAATCAGGTTCTTTGGCTTTCCTCATCTCCCCACCTGTCTGTGCTCACACTCCACCCCCCAACCCGCCCACCTACCCTCCCCCATCCTGGTTATTTCGGTCCTGGCAGCCTCCTTTGGCAGCACAGAAATCCAGAAGGCCCAAGACTCTGAGTTTTGGGCCCAGCTCAGTAACCAGTCCTCCAGGCATTCCCCTGGCTGGGTCCTCTCTGTTTTCACTGCCAATGTCATAGTAGTGCCATGCCTGGGAAGATCTGGGCTGCGGCCACAGAAGTCACTGAAATGATCATTTCCCCCAGAATGGATCAGAATTTTCTTTCTTTCTTTCTTTTTTTTGGTACCAGAGATTGAACTCAGAGGCACTCGACCACTGAGCCACATCCCCAGCCCTATTTAGCATTTTATCTAGAGACAGGGTCTCACTGAGTTGCCTAGCGCCTTGCCTCAGTGTTGCTGAGGCTGGCTTTGAACTCACGATCCTCCTGTCTCAGCCTCCTGAGCTGCTAGGTTTACAGGCATGCACCACCAAACCTGGCTAATAATACGGCCATCAGATTTGTTGTTATTGCTGCTGGGGACTGAAGTCAGGGCCTTGTGCATGCAAGGCAAACACTCTACCAACTGAGCTATATCCCCAGGCCCCCAGAGTGAACAGAATTTTAAAGAATGTCCAACCTAGGCCAATCCAGGTACTTCAAGATAATCTTAAGTTCTTAGTAGAAGTAGTGCCTTGTCACTCCCTGTTCCTGGAAGGTCAGTGTTTGGGAACATGTTCTATTTCCTGTGCTGCTGAGGGAGCCCTGGGCCAGAGATGTCTAGTTAGTTGTAGTGGTAAGACACTGGGCAGGCTACTTAGTCCCACCTAAGTCTTAGTTTTTTCATCTGAGAAATGGAGTTAACACCATACTCACATGCACAAACATATGCGTGTGCATGCTACCAATTATGGGAACCAAATTGGGCAGAGTCACACACCAGGGTGGGCAGGGAGTGGATGGAAATACAGTAGGGGCAAATTTCAAGTCTGCATAAAGTAATAAGAACTGCCACCAGGAGCTGAGTGCCCCAGGGCCTGGCTCCAGGAAGCACTACTTGAGGCATGCCATCCAAACTACAGTCTTTGCCAGGATGCCCAGTGGGGCACAAGTGTGAGGACCCACATACCTGGTTCCTCAGATTCTGCACCAGGCCCAAGCTCTGTAGTGTGGCTATGGAACCATTAAACATGGCTGCATCTCCAACCAGGGTGGCCCTCCTCTGAGCCCACCCACAGGCTGCAGCACAGTCTGGTGGGGCCCACAGAGTAGGCAGGAGGATGGGGCTTAGCTGGTGTCAAGTTCAACCTTATTGTGGTTGGTTGGTAGCACCTCTGGAGGGCAAAGTCCCCGAGCAGGACTGGGGTCCGACAGAGAAAGGTGATGAGTGTGTCTGGCACAGAGCAGGTGTACTGCCTGGATGTGACATTCCTGAGCAAGTGGATGGTGTGATGGTGAGGAAGGAGGGAGCCTGTCAGATAACAGCATGCCCAGTTAATTTGAATTTCAGATAGACCCCAGGACATTTTCTTAGTTCTGTCTCGTGCAAAATTGGGGCATAATGATACTAAAAATCATTTATCTGAAAAGTTAATTTAGCTGGGAATCCTGTGTTTTATTTGCTAAGTCTGGCATCCCCTAGAGTTGGGGTGAGGAGTCTTATCTGCTGAACTTGCCTGCCAAGGCCCACTCACCGGAGAAGAACTGGCTGATGGAAGTGGGCAGGAGCGTGAGGAAGGCCAGGGGATGGGCGAAAGAGATGGACAGGACAGCAGAGATGTAAGCCACTCCGGCCACCATGGAATAGAGGCAGGCAAGGGAGGTGTAGAGGCAGAACAGGACGAAGTTGCGCATGTTCCTGCTGCCGATGCAGTTGCCGGTGAAGAAACAGTGGTGGTCGTGCCGCAGCGTGACTCGGGCGCACACCCGGCAGAAGTGGGTGCTGGGTGGGGGGCACAGAGCCCTCTTGGACGAGGTACCCTGGCAGGCGTCCAGGTCGTCCGGGGAGTTCTGGATGACCAGGACATAATTGCCCAGGGCGTTGGCGGAGAGAAATAGGAAAAGCGCCCCGTGGAGCAGGGCAGGCGAGAAGAGAGGGGCAGCCGCGGGGTCCTCGCGCATGCTGGGCAGGAAGAGGAAGAGTTGCAGCACGAAGGTCACCAAGGAGATGCACAGAAAATAGGCGGGGGCCACGACGTTGAGCAGCCTCAGGGCCAGCATCCTCGATTACATTCCTAAGGAGCGCGGGATGAGAGAAAGACTGACTTACTGAGGTGGCCAGGGGGCGCCCTTGCGCGCTCCTAGCATCTCCCGTCGGAAGGGCTGCAAGCAAATCTACTCCCCCAACCCCAGTCCCGGGGGGGTATCCTTCTCCATTTCTCTAATCTAGGACCAAGCAAGCCAGAGATCACGAGACCACAGCGGGCTCCTGGGGCCAGGCCCTACCTCGGGGAGGCTGCTCCCTCGAGTTTTGAGTGACCTTAGGGCTCTGTCGCCACGGGGTCAGGCACAAGAAGGGAAGGGCTTTTTCGTAGTCTGTAGGGACCGTGGGGAGGAGAGGGCTAGGGCTGCGCGCCCCAGGGCAGTGGAAATGAGCCCAGGTTTGGGATTTTTGGTTCAGGCCTCCCCAGGAGAAGGCAGAGAGGATTTGAGGCCGGGGGACAGAGGGAACCATTTGACCTACAGGAAGTCCTCCTTCACTTCCCCTTCTTCCGCCCCCCCCCCCCCATCCTCACCTTGGGCAATACCCAGGGATCTCATTGGTTACCCAAGGCTCTTTGGAGGTATGTTTGTGTATGTGTGGGCCCGTGGCGGGGGGTGCGAGTGACGGTACGTGTGATCTATGTGCGCCTGGGTGTCTGTGTTTGTGTGTCTGTGTGTACACACACGCAATCACTGCTTCCTGGCTTTTTATTTAAAAATCGATTCAAACAATCGATACATTCACACGCGCACATACATTCACACGCGCTGGGTGGGTTGGGGGCGCAGCGGGAATACTTCTGCTTGTGAGTCCTTCCTGCCCAGCCCATCTCTCCGACTCTGGCTATTTGTTTGCAAAGAGCGTTTTCCTTTGAGGCGACGAAATTAAAATCCCCCCTTCGCGCCCGCCTCTCGCCCTTCTGGCGGGAGACACCCAAACAATCCCCACGGCGCCGAAACCCTTTCGATGCCAAGCCCTCCCTGAGCGGACGAGTAGATTCTCGTGTCCCTTTCCTGGGATGGACACCCCTCCACCCTGCCGGGCGCAGCTCCCACCACATCCCTGCCTCACGCCAGCCCCCGGACCCCCGGAGCCCGGGTTCCTGCTCAACTTCGGAAGCCACCGGGAAATAGCATTCTGCGCGCTGGAGAGAACTTTTCCGGGGGCTAAGGAATTGGACAGGAGGAGGCTCGAGAAAAGTTCTGGGAAGGCGGCTGCACCCAGGATGGATGGATGCCACGGGGCCTCGGTCCAGGCAGTCCCATCTGGATGGAGGGGACGGGTCACCTTGGAATCCTCTTTGCAGGTGATGGCGTCCCCCCTCCCCCGGGACCCGCGGCTGTGGTGGGCAAGCGCAGGCCTCTCTCCGCAGCTGGGTGCAGCGCCGGGCGCGCCTGAGCCTGGTTGCTGGGGCGCGGTACCGCCCCCAGCCGTGCGCCTCCGGAGGCTGCGGCGGCGCTGCCCACCCCGGAGAGCCCTGGGTCCGGGGCTCCAGCGAAGCAAGTGTCTTCCCCGCGCCAGTCGCCAGGGGGGCGCGGGAGCAGCCTCCAGATGTGCCGCGGCGCTGGGAACGCAAGGACAGGGGCTGGGGAGTGAGGGGCGCTCCGCAGGCGGCCGCAGCGCGGGAGAAGGGGCGGCCCAGGGCGCCCCAGCGGCCTGGGGTGCAGGGAGCTGTCCGCTCAGCCCTGGCGCCCGCCTCGCCCGCCTCGCCCGCCACGGAAGGCGGCACGGCGGAGCCCTGCCGAGGCAGGCAGCGCGGGAGGCTGCCGGCTTGTCGGCCACTGCCTTCCGGACGCCGGGGAAGCCGCCCCCCGCGCCACCGTCGCCACCGCCTCCGCCGCACCGCCGCAGAGGGGTGGGGAAATGAACTCACCGAGCTCTGGTCGCCGACAAGAGGAGCCCAGACGCCGGCTCGTGCCCGCCCAGAGGCTGCAAAGTTGTGGGCTCGGCCCGGCTGGCCCTCAGCCTTCTCACGCTTCGCTTCGGGGACTGGGCAGGTAGCGGGGCTGTGGGGAGGAGGGAGCGGGCAGCTGCCGTCCTCCCACTTGGGCGCCAGCGAGTGGGGGCCAGGAGGCGGCAGGGATGGCAGCTGGGCCCCCCGCCCCGCCCCCTCCCTCCTCTCCTGGGGGCGGTGCTCTGGCCACCGTCTCAGCATCGTGGACTTGCCCCCCTTCCTCCCCTCTTCTTGGTTCCCCTGGAGCGGGTTGGGGCGCCCTGCCTGACTTCAGCCGTGGTTGCAACTGGGAGATAGGAATTCATCCCTGATGTGGATGCTCCAGCCATCACCCAATCCTTCTCTCCTTCCTTCTTCCCGGCTATGACCAGAAGGGAACTTGGGGTGTTGATAGGCAGCTTACCAGGGCAACACCCAAGAAGTCAGCGTCATCTCCTCAGGAGGGCTGTGTACCAAGAGATTGCAAGGGGACCCCCGGCCTTTCGGCCTGGGTTTGAATATCCACCATTCACCGCTGTGTGATCCTAGATTCCAGGATCCTCATCTGGAGAATGGAGATGTGAGGATTAAACGGCAATAGATGTGAAAGCCCCTAAACAGAGCCTATCTAGGGGAAGCACTGTGTCTTGGACCACAGTCATGGTTAGTACCTCTCTGGATTTCCTGTGTACCAGGCACACAAGCTTTTAGCATAAGAGTCCTTCATCCGTCCTCTCAGTATGATCTGAGCAGCTGCATGAGCCCCATTCTGGGATGAGAAGGTTGGGATTCAGGAGCTAAGTCACTGCTCAAGGTCACACAGTAGGTGAGTGAACAGATTCTGGATTTGAACCCAGTTTTAGCACTGGTGTTGCTGCTCTCAGCCTCAACACAATCCAGCATCACCTTGGGACCCAGCAGCAGCTTTGATTTGGGGAACAGGAGGACAACAAGGGGGTTTATCCCACACAGAGCTCGAACCTGGAGCTGCTGCTTGGAGCCCCAGCCCCAACTCCCTGCTCTTTACCACCTTCCCCTTCTGGGACTCCAGTGTTCTCAGATGGGTACTGTGTGGCATCAAGAGGGTAGTGACACATGTGTGCCTAATGGGGGCGCGATCATAAAGAACACCTTAGAACACTGGATGGTGCAAGGACGTTGGTTGTTGGACTATGATGGCTCACTTGGGTGCCCAGCTCCACTCCTCTGCACCCAGGCCAACCTGATACATGTTGATTGCTTTCTCAACTCGTTGATTAAAATAAGAGCAATCCCTTGAAGTGAGGGCCATATGCCGATCGGCTCATCCTCTATTTTTGAATCATCAGACACTGTTTTCTCTGGATTGTATCAGCACACATAAAAATAAAAAGGGGGCCAGGAAACCTTTTCATGTTCTGAAAGGCTCTTACAGGCCAGTGGAAGAACAGCGTGCCAGGTGGTGGCCTCCGGGAATGGCCTCTGAGAATCCAGAAGCTCTGTGAGTTCCAGTGGCCACAGGACAGACATAAGGAAGCACAAGTGGCCTTTTTCCCTTCAGAGCAGCTTTGAGTGGCAGGCATGGCTGTCTGGCCCCTTTCACAAGTGCTGCCTGCATCTCGCACTGGCTTGGGAGGCAGAGGCACCTGGAGCGCTTGGTTTGGGCCATACTGATTGAAGATCTCCATTCCTTAAATACCTTGAGAGTCGGGTGGTATTTCTAATTTTATTTTGCACATGGGTGTGTGGTGGGAAGGTGTGTGTCTGAATTTGTGTGTGTGAGGGGAAGACAGAGAGAGAGAGAGGAGCTAAGCGAACGTGGGAAGATGTCAGTGGGGGAAGGGAACATTCAGGAGAGAGAAGATCCAGTCGTTCAAATACAAACGGATGAGGATAATTATTTATTTAGAAATATCGTTATCATCAGAAAAGGACATTCAAGCTGCAACTCTAGAGCTTGTGGTCCCTCAGCCCCCATTAAAGGAAGGAGCCAAATAGATTTCTAAAATGAGTGCTTATCTCGGACCAAATCAATAGGGAGGCCATCTGAAACTTCATTTTGATTCTGGCTCCAACAGAATTAAGCAGCTGAAGAAGGAGCATTTTATGGCCATGTGAACTCGAGCAAGTCATTTAACCCCTCTGCTGTCTGTATTCTCACCCATAAAAATGGGCTTAATGGTGTTGCATGGTGGCGATGGTGATGAAATGGAATAATGTCATTTATGTGCCCTGGGCTCAGCGGAAGATTGGACAGCGTTTGCGTCTCCCATCTCCCGTCTCTCTTCTGGGCTCTTTATCCGCAGGGCTGTCTTCTCTTTCCAACTCAGATGAAACCTCTGGCCTCTATTGGAAATATTTTGGAGTCTCCTCTGGTTTGCCCAGGGTTGACCTGAGTAAAAGCGTACCAGTGGATGAATCAGTACTGGTCTCTCTGATGGGAAAAGCTGTACCCTGAGGTCTTTGAAATGTCCCATGAGGCCTTATTTGCTATTGATCTTGCATCCTGCCACCCCCACCCTAACTACAGCCTCATTCTCCATTTACAGTGTCACAGGATAATTTATGAAGCACGTTCTCACCGCCCTTGTCGTATGTTCTCCTAGTTCAGCTGTGACTGAACCTGCAGATGGTCCCAAGAGGGCAGGGACACAGATCAGCATCTGATTGCTGCTGAGTACTTTCCTGGAGATATGTGCCATGCATTTTCTATTTCATGGTGTTGTCTGAATAAAACGAATTCCCTTCCAAGTGGCAACTCCGTTTTGCCACAAAATGTTGTATTCAAAGAAAGAAACTCCATGAGACAGCCAGCTTCTCCCACAGGTGAGGGACCAACCCTGTGTCTGTCAGGCCCCATGGTTCCCTAGATGTTTGGGAGAGGGCTGCAGGGCTTGGGTTCATCCTCATGCTCTTATTTCAGATAGAGGTGAATGATAGACTTGGTCTCAGGTTAATGGGTGCTCTGAAATTAAGAGGGTACTAGACGTCCTCAGACAGGATGCTCTTTGTGGCTAATAGCAAATCATCGCCAGGGGCAACCACAAAGTGCTCCCCCAAGTCTCTGAAGGCTTAATAAGGCGCCATCCCTGCCTGCCTGGATTTGGAAAACATATAAGGGCAGTTCATCATCTTAGCCCACTGAATACATGGAAATTGGATTATCACAGAATTTCTATTTGGAGGTGGTAATTTACTTTGCCAACTATGTCTTCATTTTAACAATAATTACATTACTTTGCAGGTTACAAAGTATCTTCACAAAATTAAAAATTCCATTCCATCAGTCTCTCAACAGGTCTGTAGCTAGCTGGGATTCAAAAATATTAAACCCATTTTTTCTTATGAGAAAACTGAGGTTTGGAGGTTTGTTACATGTCAATTTGAAAGCCTTGCCTATGTTGGATTTAAAATGCAAATCAATATGCAAAGATCTCATGGATATTTAGCCTTTCTGAACGTGACATCTGCATAAAGGAAGCAGGCATGTAACATTCCCCTAGAATAAAAGACCTGCTGATCTCTCTTTATCTAAAACTGCTCTGCTCTTCACCCTGTGTCCCATCTACTCTTCGATATTTGTCCCCAACACCACTTATCACCATCTGACACAGTGTATATTTATCTGCTTACCATTTGTCTCTCTTACTAGAATGCCAACTCTATGACAGCAGTATTTGGACTGTTCTTGTCACAGATGTATCCCCAGTGCCTATAACTGTGTCTGGAACATAGTAGGTGCTCAGTAAACACAGTAGGTATTGAACAAATGAACAGATGTACTAGGCAAAAGTGAACATATAAACCTGCAGCACATTGACCAAAAGCTCTCAAACACTCTGCTGTTTGTGGTGCTGAAAGGGAGTGTGAGGCTGGGTTCAGGAATGCTAAAAAGTCCCGAAGGTCACCCTGTGGGCGACAGGCAACCCCAGCAGTCTCTCTCATGGGGATGCACCAGGGTGGGAATCTTGGCTTAGCATGGACGACCCCTTTGCCATGCTCAGGCCATGGAAGAATGAATGCCATCTTTCCCCAGTTAGCCCTGGTTTCCAGGGATCTCTTAGGCCATCCTGGTAGGGATGCTAAAGCCTGCCGACCAGCCTGCAGCTTTGCAGCAAGATTAATTGGCTCTTTCATCTTAGAGAATGCGGGAGGTTGAGGAAAGGAAAAAGGGGTGGAGGGAGGGAGAGGAGGAGGGAGGGAGGGGACAGAGAGGAGAAATGGGAGGCGGTAAAAGAGGGCGCTTGCTGACCCATGGTGGTTTATGACTTCTTAAGAGGAAGCTCAGGAGGTGCAGGGTGGGGCGGGGGTGTCAGCTGTGGCTGTGGTGAGCCCAGCAACACCAAGTGTCCAGGATGGGGGGGATCCGGGCCAGAAGGGTGACATCTCAATTAGAGGAGGAGGGAGGGAAGACCAGGGGAGTGAGGTTACCACAGTGTCCTTGGCTTTTTAGAGACCTCTTGGATATGTTGCAGCCACAGAGCTGCAGGCAACACCGACTTCACACCCATGACCCCCGCCTCCATTCTACTCTACTTCCCCCTGTCCCAGAGAGACTGCTCTGGGCCCAGGAGAGAGGTGGTTTGTTATTATGAAAAAAAACAATAATAATAATAAGTTTTTGATGTCCGCTGACCCGGACTTGAGCCTCTGTATTCTCATTCACTTGCTATGTGACCTTGAGCAAGTTCCTTAGCCTCTCTGAGCCTCAAATTCCTTGTCCGTTAAATGGGATCTTTAGGTAATTTGCAAAGTTCATTATGAGTTTTAAGCGGCAAAGATTTCAGCTTGATGGATAGCACCTGCACCTTCCACCAGACTGTAGCCTCCACACTACTGCAATCCTACAGTCCCACTACCCCCACCTACCGCCCTCTGCTTATCTCAATTGCTTATTTGTTTGTTGATGGCGTCTTTCCATCTGTAAATATCTGTAGGCTGGTTTCTGCAGCCTGTACCCACATAGAGCCTGGCAGAGTGGGAGCTCAATAGATATTCAAATAAATAAATTATAAATAAATAATAAATTCCAACTCAATATCTGACCTTTAAAACACAGGCTCAGGAGAACAACAAGCAAATGGGATAAAACCAAAGATTCCTATTTCCTGATGCCTGTTATGTGCCAGGCCCATGGGGGCCCAGGTGCCTACACACAGGTTCTTTTATTTAATCCCAATAATTACTCCGCGTTGTGAAAGTCAGACTCTGCCCACTTTATATAGGCTCAGAGTAGTTAGGAGATTTGCTAAGTTTGCAGAGCTTGCTGGCAGCAGACATCAAGTCCAGGTCACTTAGCCAGGTGTGTAGCACTTGCCTGTAATCTCAGTTACTTGGGAGGCTGAGGCAGGAGGATCACAAGTTTCAGGCCAGTTACAGAAATTTAGTGAGACCTTGTCTCAAAAATAAAATAAAAT